GCTTTGAAGTATCGGGAGCCATCCGACGAATCCCGGCACCGCCATTCTGTCTAGCTCATTCCCGGCCTACACGGTGTCTCGCTATCCTTCTCTACGTTCACGCACGGCTGAACTCGATCTGATAATTGATGTGGGGTCAATTCCTGGAACTGAAATAGGTACCTTGCCCTGTTATATGAAATCGGACGGACCTCAAGCGTTTCATGCTTAACCGGGGAAGAAGAATGCTGTTCGTCGTGATTATTCAGCTGGTGGAAAAGAATTGTGAGGCGGGGCTCGCTCGGTGGTTCCCGAGCAAAAAACTCCGTACGATGGTTGTTTGTAACTCAATTATGCAATCGATAATGAACTGAATATATTTATACAAAACCCACCGAGCCTCGAATACATCGGGCAGGAATTTAATCGTTTCTATTATTTTGTTCTTTACATAGGGCACTTTTGTAAACATTATGAATTTCTACTTGATACTTTTGGGCCTGTTGGTTTTGCATAAATATATTCGGTTCATTATCGACTGCAATAGCTACAATTTAATCGTTTCTATTATTTTGTTCTTTACATAGGACACTTGTAAATATTATGAATTTCTACTTGATACTTTTGGGCCTGGTGGTTTTGCATAAACATATTCGGTTCATTATCGACTGCAATACCTACAATTTAATCGTTTCTATTATTTCTTCTTTATACATAGGACACTTGTAAACATTATGAATTTCTACTTGATACTTTTGACCCTGATGGTTTTGCATGAACATATTCGGTTCATTATCGACTGCAATACCTACAATTTAATCGTTTCTATTATTTCTTCTTTATCTAGGACACTCGTAAAAATTATAAAGTGAATTATAATTTTAGTTTCACATTAACGTTTGCTCTCAGTGATCAGAATCCAGCATCGTAGCTGATGAAAATTGTAGGCGCATGATTAATTAACAAGTTATTACTAATGATAACTCGAGGATATAATTTTCTGGAACGCCTATCGATCCGACAAATTCTAATCAAATTGATGCACAACCGTTCCCCTAGCCGGCCCTTCTTCCGGTTTCCTTCGATGTTCATACATTAACCCCTAAGGACCAACGCCCATTCCCTGTATCGACCAACGAACTGTCGCCAGCGATCAATATTTTACAATGCACAATAATGGGTTCATAGATTTACGATTGAGAAGAACACAACACCATGGATTTATTTCTCCGTCAGCTTTCGTTTAACGCGATTCGATAAAAATTGAAGTGCGATGTCCGCTAAAAGCCTTCAACTCGAAACATTTCTATATTCTAAATGGATTCGGAACCCGGCACATGTGTGCGAACACGTACGTGTGCAAGTATACATGCCGCTCAATTTATGGAAAAGAGCCAGGGGTACCGATGACTTATCGTTCGCGCAGAGTGTGTCATAGTGATTCCTGGCCTGACTAACGCCCTAGGGGTAGTTACGATCGATCGGGACTGGCCAAAAATTCTACATCGCTAGAAATTACCCTAATGCAAATTGCTAATTATATGCGACGTATAGACAGCGGATTTTTATAGATTTATCATAACAATGACTAAGTGCAGTGGGAAGGACTCTGAAGAGATTAAAAGAATTTAAGGATATTGCTACGTAAGCTTCAACTTAATACGATTGTTGAAAGAAGAAAGACATTAATTTGTATAATTTTTATTTTGTCGTTATGCAATTACGTCGTTATACTGGTCTCGCAATACTGGAAATACACTTTCGAACGATGCAATTTAATAATTAATTATCCGTCTTTCCTGGCCGAGCACGCGACCAACAAAAATCCGACATCGTTCACGCTCGATCTTCCAACGTATCGACCAATTTGAACCGATGACGATTCGGATACACCGGGTCAGAACGGACCCGGTCAACCGCCACGCGGGTTAAAGCGCCGAGAGCTTACGGTGCCATTTCGGTTGCCGGCGCGAAGGTCGAGCAGATTCCATCGGAATCGGGAGGGAAACCGAGCGATTCGGAGCATTCCGTAAACAGAGAGGCGCAGAAATAAAAATTTTTATTGCGGAACAGGTCGCCGCCGCCGCGATCGCCGCCGCGGTTTTTAGTCCCCGTGAAGCCGAACGGAACTATATCCCCGTGGTACGAAATTTCCCCGGCATAATCGAGTAATCCGGCGTGCAATCTCGATCGGGCGGAATACTCGGGGGCCGATTCGATAAAACGAGTTCCACGCGGCGGCGGCCCGTGTTTCCAGCGTTCAAACGTTTCGACCGCCCGTGGCGACCTTCCGCACTCCTGTTTCCCTCGGGCCTCGCCGCGGTCTTCGGATCGGAGAACGTTTCTCCCCGGTTTATCTTAATTCGCGCGATACATCATTAAGCCGGTGTGTGGGGCGATTCCGGTAAAATATACGCTGGAAAAAAGAAACGTCGGCATCAAAGGGGCCGCGGGGTAACGATAATTAGCGATACGGAACGCGTAATAAACGAAGCCGGCCGCTAATTTCAATTATTCGAGGCAGAAGGGTAAAAAAGGAGTAAAACGAGCTGGAGGCGGTGGCTGCTGCTGCGGCGGCGGCGGCGGCGGCGTTGGAGGGAGACGAGGAGGAGGAGAAGGAGCAGGAGGAGGAGGAGGAGGAGGAGGAGGAAGAAAAGAGGAGAAAAAGCCGAATAATCGTATCTGCATAAAGAAACGGACGCACATCCGCGTATAATGATACCTGCCGCGTGGTAATTACGCCCGTAATTCTTTCGTGGGGCAAGCGTTAAAAACCGAGTCCGCCGAGGTTGTTGTGCATGCACAAGCACGCGGCCGCGTATGGGAGAAATTAGAGTCGACAATGCGTATACGTGTGCACGCGTGCGTGCCTCTGTGGGCCAAGGAGCAAAAAGAATGAACAAAGAGAGGAGGAAGCGAGCAAAAAGAGTGAGTGAGAGAGAAAGAGAGAGAAGCCGAGGATCACCGAGAGTTGTGTTCTTTGCTCGATACCGAAGGAATAGAGAATACCAGCGGTCGCCTTTTATCTAACCACCGGACTAATGCATGTAACGAACTCGCAAGGTCCCGATAATTAAACTCCACCCCTCGATCGCACGAGTGCACTCCACCGCAGAGTGCACGAGCGTGCGCGCGCGCTCACTCGCCCGAGCGAGATAGCTATATAACTCCTTTCCTCGTCTCTCCGTGTGTTAGAGGGTATACACCGTGCCGCTTTTGCGCCCTCTTGAATGAAAAAGCGAAGGGAGAGCGGGACAAACGGTTTCTTCTTTGTAAATCACCCCTTTCTGTTTGCTCGCTCGTAACTTTTATCATTTGCCGGCGCAACAGCTTTCCCCGGTATGAAAATTCGTCCGGTCGCTGATGCATGAGAAAGCATCCGTAAAGGCGCAAGACCGGGGAGAGAGAGAGAGAGAGAGAGAGAGAGAGAGAGATCGGTCGGGATTTAAGCGGGATCTCCGACCAGCTATAGCCAGCCACCAGAGAGGATCGGTGAATAATTCGACGGGTAATGCGCGTTGTTTCGCCGTCGGAATGTTTTCGTTGAAACACGCGGGCACCCCCGCGACCTTTCCTTTTCTTCCTCGCCGACGCTTATATTTATTTTCGGACCGTTCTATGTATAGGGGGTACCGGCGGGGCCTGGTCTCGGGCGAGGGGCTTGTTTTCCCGTCGATTTTTCGTGAACGGCCGCCGCTGGGGAAACGCCATAAAACTTTTTAGGGGACTTTGACCGTCGCTGGACCGTTCCTCGCGTTTCCCCCCGCGCATAGGTACTTGCGCGCGAAACGCAGTAAAATGCAAATTTTATGAATGCGTAATAAAGTTGTTTGATGGAGGGAAATAAAGGAATAAAAGTCATTGAGACTACGGGCCAGCGTCGGGGCTTCGGCAACATTGTAGCAACGCCGGGTGATCGCTGTCGTGTCCGAAATTTAAATTTCTGCTGGCAAATATGTATTCGGCTCCGGCGGTTCTTCTTCGGTTGTTGCGACGTTCGGTCCGCGGAACACGGAGGTAGTTATTTAACATTGCGCACGAATGTGCTAATTTTGAAAATTGTATTTCCGACGGAGTGGTTTTTCGTTTCGACGTTTCGCGAGCCTCTTGCGGACCGGAACCGCTCGACTAGGATCTAAAAATGAGATGAATTAAAATTTTTCGGATTCTGGACCGCGCGGCTGACTTAGAGGAGTGTGCTGTATTTTTACGCCTCCACTTAGTCTTTGACGTACCGTACGTTCGGATATTTTCTCGTTCAAAATAGGCTCGCGATCGACGACGATCAAAATATCTACGATAATTAACGATTGTTTCGTAAACATATGCTATTAATGAAATCGAGCATAAATACTCTACAACTAGTATTTCTCTGTTCTGTGCATACGTTTCCTGACAGGAAAGATCGAAGAGATATCTCGGACGCTAACGACATTTAAGTTCACCTACATACGTTCGTTTGATTAGGGGCGGTAACGGCGTCAATTGAAGCACCGCGGAACACGGAGAAACGCATTTAAATCGCAGGAAACGCGACAACGGGAGAAGCAACGCGCAGGTTGCGTAAAAATCTGTGGACGCGAGAACAATGACAGCCGGGCGCCGATGGATTAACCAGCAAGAAAAATGCAAGTGTGACGTAACACCACGTGGGATCCGCTTCTGTCATACTGCAGCAGCAGCAGCAGCATCATCGAAGAGGACACGCACGGCCGCGCGCGGCTCGCAAAATATATCACGCCTATAACCGGATCGGCCGGACAATCCGTATACGGAATAACAGACGATCTATCCGTACATCGTGATTTCGACGCGAACATCGATATACATCGTGCGTGTATACGACAAAAAAATATACAACGGAAGGAAAAAAACATTGGCCGTAGGAGGGAGAAGGGATGAGGGAGAGGGAGAGAGAAGAGTCGAGGCGCGTGAGTGAGAGAGAGAGAGAGAGTAAGAGAGACGAGAGAGACGAGAGAAAGGGAAAGAGAAAACGAGAGAGAGACATAATAGAAGCTTACCAGAAAAGGGTCTGTAGCCAGCGAGGAACCTTGCCCGCCACCACTTTACCAATCCGGTAGCCATGAGACCCTCATGCATCCACAAACGCTGCGCACACTTTCCTTCCAGGCTTCTTGTTCCGCCACTTTTCTTTTTTTCTGTTGTTTCGAGCCTTGCCGCCGACGTAGAAATTCTTGTTGATCCTTTACGCGCGACAGCGGCCGGCGGCAGCGGGGCGGCGGGAACACCAACAGGATTCCGCTTCGGCTCCGTAGAAAATCCTTGGTTCACCTGACTCGGTCACACGTCGTCCCCCGGGTGTTCCATACAATACCGATTTTCTGTTATACAACCTCCGTGGTTTTATTCACCGTACATGATCACACATTTGTGCTACGAAATCGAAAACAACCGCACTCCCGAGAACTTCATACTCTCCTCGTTGGACATCGAGTGACACGGTAACTCGTGCCAGAGGGAGCGAGCGAGCAAGAGAAAGAGCAAGAAAGAGAAAGAGAGGGGAGTGAGAAGGAGAGACAGAGAGGACACGTACAAATAACACGTGTTTCAGCAGCCACAGCGTTAGGCCTAGCAGGCAGGCAGGCAGGCAGGCAAGGCAGGCAGGCAGGCAGCAGCGACCAGTCTGCGTCCCAGTGTGTCGGTCGCCTTTTGCCTTACTTTCTATCTTCCGTTTATCGTTGTCTCGACAGCAAGGGACGAAACGTGCGGGCTCGCATGCTCGCCCCCTGTCACCGAATTTAGTAACACGCACAGCTGCGGCCGCGTAACAAACACACGCCCGATTTTAATCCAGGTAAAAGCCCGAGAAAAAGGAACGCGGCCGTCGGGAAGGGTCGTCGGTCACACGGCATCGCTCGAGACTCGTGGCCCGTCTACGACTACGGACGATCGTTCTTGCCTAAACCACGTTCCCCGTAATTCCCTTTCCCCCTCCATAGGGCGCTGCGTCGTCACAGTGCCGAGTCGTGGATACACGGGCCCTGAAGGTAGGAGGCGCGGCTCGAAACCTCCGATTCACGCTCTTTCTGTGCGTCTCTCTTTCACCTCCCTCCCGTTCCCGCTTTTTCGTCAGCCCGTCTCCGTTCCACCATCGGGATCCGTTGGCCGTCCTTCTCCGGCCAACCGGTGTGCCTCTCTTCCTCTCTCTCTCTCTCTCTCTCCTTTTTTCCCTCTTTTTTATACTCCTATCTCTCCCTCTGCTCCCTATAATTCCACCTCTCATGTTTCGCCTCGTTCCATCCTTCTGATTCTATCCTATATCCTCCTTGTTTCATCTCTCCGTGTTTCTCTCTTCTCTCTCCTCTTCGCGTCCCTCGCTTTCCTCTTTTTCTACGCGTTCTCTCTTCCCTCGTGCGTTTCGCTCTGTCCCTTCTTCCAACTCCCGAGGCCCGTCGTCCTTCTCCCTTTTGCCTTCGCAGCACCAACCACGCGTATATACTTTCCTTTTCTCCTACTCTTTTTCTCCTTCCTTTTTGTACGGCGAAGGTCTATGAGAACGCCGAAGAAGGACAGCTTCGCACGGCTGGTGGGGTTTTGAAGGAAGCCGATGATGGTTCAAACGTGGTCTACGACGACACTAAATGTCGGCGGTCTGCGACGCCTTGCCGCAACGGCATGCGTAAAGAACGAATCGCGGCCTCCGAAGGATTTCGATGATCGCGCGCGCGCGGCCGCCAAACACAAACAGTCCGCGAGGATTTTTGCGACGGTCGCGATCAAGCGCCGCCGTCGCCGTCGGCCGGCACCGCACCGCCGCCGCCGCCGCAGCCTCTGAGCCGTGATCCGGGGACGTTGCCCCGGATCCGTTTCTTCCAGAGAAAGTCGGTTTTCGAGGGATTCGGAAAAACGGGGCTTCTTTTGAAAGGATCAGACCCGCCGAACGTCCCCCATTCCAGCCGGCGAATCCGTCGGCTTCGCTGGAATCGTCGCCCGGAATCCCGTAATTCGCCGGAATGATCCGCGACCAGCTTCTGTGTGCCCTCCATTCCGGCAAACCGAAATCATCGGGGAACGATGTTCCCGTTTTTTTTTTTTTACTTGACCCTCACATTCGGATTTTCAAAATATCAGACCGTCCGCCGGCGATTTGTTATTTGTTCAGAAACGAAAAAACAATGTTTCCCAGAACATCGCAAACTGCAAGTGCTACCGTGTCGACGTCCGACGCTGTTATTGTTGCCGTCCTGCGTCCACTTAATGCATTTCCGGAGTTCGTCAGAATTTCAAAGAAGGGGTTCCAACACTTCCTAAACGCTCTCGTCTATTTGTTTTTTTTTCCCTCGCTTATTCAAGGTTAAAGTACGCGAGTGTGCCGGTGTTGTGGAATAAATGAGAAATACTCTTTTTGGAGACTGTACCCGCACGCTATTATCTCCTAGCGGTGTTTCAGAAGAAACATAGGCGTCGCCCTCGGCAATGCGATGAATGAACTTTAACGGAAAGCACTTTGTCACGTATACATCAGCTAGCCGTGGTAATCATTTTACACGTAGCCGAGCACAAAAAGAGGACAATTTATCAACCGGCCGCGTGCACGCGCGCCTGCGCTTTTCCTTTGCGAGAAACGTAACCTGTCCTCGACGCCTTACAAATAAACAGAGCGCGTTACAACGAATTCCCCACCGAGCAAAAATAAACGAATCGCGTGCAAATAGTTGCGCAATTTTCTACGACGTCGTGAACAATAGTTGCTCGTTCCGAATCGTCGAAAGTAGCGGTCGACGAAGGAAAGTAGAAGCGGATGCGATTGATTGCAGAAGCAATTTGCCGAAGGTGCGTGACCGTAGAAGTACAGTAAGCGCAAAGATGAGGAAATGTGGTCGTGATCTCGGTCCCCCGGGTATCTACGCCACTGGCTCGGCAAGTACCCCCTTGCTCTCCCTGTACGGAAAGTCTCTGCCCACCATGCCACGCTATGCCGTGCTGTGCTGCGCCGTGCTACGGTTTGCCGTGCCATCCTCAACCGCGTAGCGTGGCTAGTTGTTTCTTTTCTTTATTCCTTTGTCGGAAAGTCGGTGGCGAGTCTCGTTTTTAAGAGAAGAGTAGAGGGGAGGAGGCAAAAGGAAAACGACAACCGCTCAGCAGGGGCTGAGGAAGGAATGGTCGGGTCCGGGGACCCGAGGGAACGGGGGGCAGGGCCACGCAGCAAAGAGAATAAAACGTACCGTTCAAAAACTCAGTACAGACTAACCTCGAAATAAAGCCGACAACCCGCTCGGGAAACCGAGGCACGTCTATTAATAATAAACTGTTTTCAGTTAAGTATTCGGCGATCGTATGGCGCGGCCGATGATCGGGTCTTGCGGACACAACACCGTCCGGCCTTTTCCACCGAACCGAACGCGAAACCGTCCAACGCGCCTTCCGCACGGCGCGCGTTCCGTTTGCGTTTGTTATGTAATATTACGTATGAATAGCGCGTGTATCCAGCACCGCTAAGACTGCTGGCCGAGTCTACAAAAAAATTCCCTCGCCGCGCCTCGAAAATGAAAAGCACCCGGTGTCCCGTTTGCCCCGGAATCGCGACACTCGGGTCTAGGTTGACCCAGGGTCGCGAGCGTACTTCATCCAGTTCGCCAGCGGCCAGTTTAAATTACTGGATATTTGTGCTAAGGCCCAATTAGAGGGTCAACGTTGGCGTCGAAGCGGAGGATGCAACGAAAGCCGATGTCGAAGTTCAAACGTGCGTAGTAGCGGGGAACCTCTCGGGATAGACTAGTTTGAACAATCTTGTACACACATGTCCCCGGAGCGTTGATTAATGACTAAGGGGTTGGTGACGCAAGAAGAGACGTTCCGGGGTGACCATTGGTTACCCTAATGACTAACGTTAAGAGATAAATGATTAGGAACAGTGGGACAGAGCAGTTGAGTCAGGACAAACGTACAGTTATCTAACGATGCCGATGGGCATCTTATACATATAGATGTATCACTCTATACCGGGTAATTAGCGATTTTGTTGAACGGGAAAACGAAAATGTTGTTTGCGCAACCGATGGTAAACGTTGGGAGAGTTTTAACCCTTTGAACTCGAGTGGCGACTGTATTGTTATTATCAAATTGTTATTATCATGTTTCGAAGTAACTTTAACATCATCAAATTTGTTTGTATTAGAAGAACTGTAAAATGTGTAGTTGTTGCATGGGTCAAGAAATTCAATTTCATATGTGCAAGATGCATTGGGTTCTACAAAATGGAAATGCTACAGGTTGGAAAAAGTATTTCGAATTTCGAGCTGAAATGGCTCCGACCGCTAAAGGTTAAATTTATTCTCGGATCATTTTGCATGGTAACCGTTAATCTACCATTATCGCGCCGAGTCCAAATTTCTCGCTCTATCAAACGACACTCCAACTTTCGATCCTCAAACGTCAAAACTAACAACGATAGCGATCTCGTCGCGATAGAACGGTTCGCGATGTTTGCGATGAATCTGACGTTATTTATTGACCATATAGCATTATCGGTGCAGTAGTAATCGGCACGATCCGAACGATATACGTGCATACATACGTACATATGTACATGCATACATACATACGCGTCGTATCAGGTCATCGATGCTAAAATTGAACGCTTTACCACGTCGTCGATCTGTCGCGAAACGTGTTAGGATCCGAACCGATATGATTTCGCGCAGCAAAATGTCCGAATATCGGTAGCATCGGTAATATCGGAATCGTAACCGCGAAAGAGGAAGCGCGCAGATGAATAGAAAACGTTGGCTGATCGCTGAATTGAAAACGCCGAGGAGCATTATCCATGTATTAGATGGGATTTTCATATTTTTACGCGGAATTACGGCCGAGCAAGCGTGTTAAGTCGGAGCGCTTAAAAAAAAAAGTTGTTTCCTCAAATAAAACTTTAATTGGGATCATCGAGCTAATAAACGATTTATTCTCTTTTTTGCCAAGGCACAATTTACGCTTCGATAAGTTTGTCAGAAAAACCGCCAGCTCGTATTTCCTGCAGCTTATACGCGGCGTTACCAATCGAAAACCACATCTAAAGACGTTCCTACAGAAACTTCCTGGGACAGGACTCCATTTTCTCCTCGATAGACTTTAACGCCGGAATCACTCCTCTAAGATCTCCATTTCCGTTACGACAGGGAAGATTAACGATAATTGAACTTGTATACGAGTTCGTTCCATACGGACTTAACTGGCACACGATCGTCCAGCATACCTTCTAATACGTGGAAGAAGAATTTCTACAGAATTTCATGCGGCCTCTACGAATCACCCAGGCGTTGCGTCAAAGCGTAGGAGCCGGGGATTCAAATAGACATTTAAGTATAAACGTGTCCCCCTAAAATGTCATTTTTATCGCGAGAAAATCTCGGAAACGGTCTTTTGTGCGGGTCCCCTACCGGGCCGGCCGAAGAAAAACAGGAAGGAAGGTAGAGTGGAAGCCAGAAGAGGTGGGTAGGAGGAAATGAGAGAGGAGTCCACGAGGAGTGGAGAGGGTCCACGACCGGATCTTATAATTACGCTAATTAGGCAGTAACGCGTAAAAAGTGCGGCGCGAGTATTTATCGCGAGGTACCGTCGAAGGTACGAAGGTCGGCAAAGGAGGACGACGTCGCGCGCGACAGGATACGACAAGAAAGGCTATAATACAGTTTTGCCGCCTAGCAGCGGAGGCAGGCGTAGCGTCGGCGAGCGGGCAAGAGAGGCGAAAGCAAACGACGCGCGATGGCGGGAATAAAAGGCGATATCGTCGTCGATTTCACTGGGTGCTTTCGTCACGATCGGACGTCTAATTACAATCAAAATCAAGGACACCGACCGGGTACGCGCGACCGTGACTCCCGGCGAAGTGTGTACTCTCCCCGATAACGCTTATCCGGGGGCATCGGAGCCCGTATCGGCATAGATAATCGCCGGAATGGGCACGCTGAATTCGCTACTATCTGGCATCTCCGGACGGCCTCTCATCCGATACTCAAACATCTGTCGCGTTCGATTCATAATCGTCAAGATTACGCGTCCCTCTCGACACAATGTCTATTTGGCCCGTAAAGCTGGCCGGACAGGGTCCGTACGAACAACTGTACATTTGGGAATAGAAGAGGGCTTGGGGTAACAAGAGGTTGTTGATTGCTGCCCGGAATAGAGAGACAGACCGTAACTGTACGGTGCCGAGACAAAATTCTGAAAAGGCCGGGCATTTTGGGTCGAAACGACCGTGCATGGGCGTCGGGACGCTACGGTCTGTCCCCGTGAAATTAGCTTATCCGTCCGGACTTGTCGGCTCGTAGCCGTGGGTGAGGCCCCGAGCGCGGGCAAGGGTTCGCCGTCGAGGCGAAATTATCGTTATCGGTGTTTTCCGTTCCATTTTTCCGCGGCGGCCGATCCGCCGACGAGGCGACCGTCGGACATGGGGCCGAGGCGTGCGTGTGGTTGCTAGCCGTCAAGAGAGATTTTTCTCTCATCAGGCCGGGGAACAGGCCGGGTCTGCTGAGAGCGTTTATGGGTACCTTTGCTGGACGGATTCGTCGGAAGGAGAAGCCCTGCGACGCTTGGCGGCGCGGCGCGGAGCGAGCCGAGGCGGGCTGGAGCGCGGGCTGAAGCGGGACAGGGGAGGGTGTAAGAGAGAGCCTCGACTGGATTACGGGGCCGGCTGGGTCGTGGCGCGGGTGTGGTGGGGAGGGCGGAGGGGTAGAGGAAGCGGTCGGCGCGTTTGATCTCGGCCGCGGGCGCCGACAAAGCGTTCATCCACTCTCCTACAACGGCGTGCTGTCTGGCGTGCGGGAGCGCGACAATGCGACTAACCAAAGCACGCGAGAGAGACAATGGATAAAGCGAGCCAGCCGGGCTAAGGTAGCGTGATACGGAGTAAGAAGGAAGAGAAGCGGAAAGAGCTTGAGCAACAACGTCGGACGGACGAATGGTGCTCTGCTCGCCGCGCCGCGCCGCACCGCGCGGCCCGATTGGGGGAAAGGGAGAAAAACAGAGAGACCGAGGAACGCATGGGACGATGCTATGGAGAGAACGAGCAACCGTGCAGCCCCGTGGATTCGACGAGGACCGAGCGTAGAAGAAGAGGGACCGTGAACCACCGGCAGGGACGTACGGTGAAAGAGGAACGGGCATGAAGAGTTGGCGGGACAGAGACCGAGGCGAAACAAAAGCGAGACGAATAGAGAGGGAACGAGAAAGAGCCGCGGCGATGGCAGGGGGTTGGAAGGATAGGGGAAGGGGGGAGAAAAAGATCCGAAGATCCGTTCCACGATCCGGTGTTCTGTCGCGCTCGCTTTAGCATGGCACAGCCACTCCCTGCCGGCCACACCAGCTTTGCTATTAATAAATAATGCTCCGTGATCCGCATTACAACTAAAGCGACTCGTTCTACTCTCCCGGGTTTATTCTTGATCCCGAAATCTGGATACTCACGGATCTCTACCGGCTCTCTTCTTCCGTATCGCACTTGGGTATCTTTCAGCGACGCTGAATGAATGCGCCCGAGTTTATTGGTCCCCGTCTCCAGTACCGCACGCTGTTCCGGGGAACGTGCCGAACCGTCCTTCGAACTCATAGAGACGTTTCAGGGCTTCTAATTCAGAGCATTTCAACCGACGACCCGCTCCGGCCGACGGACGCGGTTCACGGAAACCACGATGGCGTCTACGCGGCAGTTCGTTACAACACCGTCGTTTGTCGTAGGTTTTAAAGCCCTCCTCCTATAGCTACTTTATCCACCTAAAATGTTATAGTTTCGTTTAAACACGGAGAAATTTGCTGGAACATCTTGTATTTCAATGTACGTTGAATGCCAACGTTTAAGTATACATACGTCAATAAAGATAATATTATCCTTAATCGTTATGCGACGATGAATTCTGTCGTTTATATTAGTACATAATGCCGTCACACCTTGGTGTCGAAGAAGTTTTCTTTTTTTTAGCGGAACCGAGTTCTCTGGATTGCGCAGCAGGTTCGCGCGAATAAAAACCGACCGGTGTCACCAAACTCACAATATCTTTTATTATTTGTAAAACGTTGATTCTCAATTCATCATGAACTTAAATCACAGGGGACATACAGATTGCACCAACCATCATTAACTCGTGTGGTTAATCGAAGAAAATTATGGTATAACGTATACATAAAGGAAAAAGTACACAGTACGACAGATAAAAGGTTCTTTGTAAGTTCGCATTAACCGTATAATTAGTTATCCGAGGCTGTTTTGTAATTAAAACGCTCCTAATGGTAGAATCGCGTATAAATTGTATAGAATAACTTCTAGAAAAATGAATCTCAAAAGGAATCGGGGTCGCCTACTTGAAACACGTTTTCGATACGAAGAATTTTTTGATGTTTTCTATTGTAATCTCGTTCCTTGGGATCGATTTCGCAAATTTTTGAGTTTGAAGTAGGCCGCGCGCGCTCGGTTTCAATTGATTCCCGATTCGATCTTTGTCGTTGATCAAATACGAAACTTGAATCGAATTTTCTCGATCGAAACATCGATGAAACTATAACTTCAAATGTAGATTATGTTCCTAGCTATGCGCATAAAAACTGATTATTACGTATTATCCAGCACCGATTGAAAGTTTCTCGATCGTTAACGATTTTGAATTAATTAGCTTTTGCAGATTTGGCTAGGGTATGCTATACATCTGTAAACATGTCACGATATACTGAACATTTAGCAATGAAAAAAATAATAAAAAACTAGAAATCTGACGATAACATCGTTTAAAATGAACGAATTTGTTTCTTTTTTTAAAACACATTAAAAACGTCATCAAAAATCTGAAAATCGATTCAATGGTCACATTGTAAACGACAGCACAAATTGAATAAATATTGCTGATTCTTTTTTATGATGAATAGATATACCAAATTCACACGATCTCGAAGGAAAAGTGACCGCTTTCTCGGAACGTATTTCAAGTATAGCCCGATATTTTCGCATGTGGGCTGTACATTTTATCTATGTAAATATTCATCCTTATAAGAATCATACTTAGAGATAATCGCTCAATCTTTTTTTTATTTAATCATTATTTAAACGTCTATTCAAATGCGACACGCGTAATACGGTTTGTGTGCTTATTACATAATTCGAATGCAATCGTGACATTCAGATTAATTAGGGACATACGCTGTAAATTCATTGAAGCAGTGCTGGAAGTCAAGCGAGAGCCAATAATTGATTTCATGCGTCGTAAGACAGATCTTGTCAGAGGAATACTGCTTAAAAAGTTTTCAAACAATTGGCACAGTAAACTAACGATGGTTCTTTTTAGATTTGCTCGAATCATACGAAACGGAAGACACTTGATATCACTATGAGAAACATCCTTCTCGGTGGAAACAAGAACGCTGTTATGAAGTTAAGTACGCTGCAGAAAGTATTATTACCCAGAATTTTGACCAAAGTGCATAAAATATTGTTGAACAACGTCTCGGCATGTTTGGAAATTCATTGAGCGAATTTTTCAGAAATACACGAGAAGGATATTTCAGATGGTTACACGAAGTGCCTTATTATGTATTTACTTAAAATATAAGCAGAAATTCATATTGCGATTAGAAATTAGAATTGTACAATATTGTGGAAAATAAGTCGTATCACGAGGTAGTTGAGATCTCATTGAACGCAATACATACTTTAAACCAGTGTGTCCCAAATTCGGACATAAAGTTTTTATACTTTCATGAGAAACTATTTGTACTTTGAATTTCAAATACACTTGCATGCAGCAAACACATCTTTGGCTTCCCTTTCAAGCTGTTCGTTTTCGAAAATTCAGTCGGGATCGATCGAAATGAAAAATGAACATTTTGTACACCGACGACGACCAACTGCGATAAGAAAATTTGGGATTGACTGGCTTAAATGAAACATTTGTCGCGTACAAAAGAAATTAACATGGTTTTCAATTTTATTCGTGTATAAGCGACAGATGATTTTCGTAGTGAATGATCTACACAATATATACATTCAAATTTTAATCCATGGAATTTAAACATAGATTTCATCGGATTCTCAACAAATATCAGCCCGCACGCAAATGCATCGTTGCTTTTCGATTCAGTTTCCTTCATACTAGGTATTTCGTCTTAGACATAGAAGTGGCTCACGAGAAGAATATCGAGAGCTGTATTTATACGCGTCGTGAAATTGATCGCCTCTCGAAAACAATAAAGTGCAGATTGACTTTGAAATTCATTTATATGTTACATGTCTTCCATTGACGCTGAATGATAACATTATCATCATTACTTTGCACCGTCCTCCGAATTACTTTGATATCATACAACTGATTCTTGGAAAGAAAATTGTTTGTTTTGCTTTCGAAAGCAAAAATCATTTGATATAACAATATAAGCAAATTTCTCGGTCTTCGTCGTTAGAATTTTTCCTTTTACTAAATTTATACATTACGTTTGCGTTATACTTTAAATTTATACATTATGTATGTGTATATTTAAATACAATATGCAATGGACCAATGACAGGATTGGTATCTTATTCATCTCCCATCTCATGAATTAAATCCATTTGTTAACCATTTAATATAATAATTATCCTATTTCCAATAGAAGTCAATATGCCTATCATTTAAACGGCGTCCTTCTGTTATTATGTTGTGTAAGCTTATGAAGTATATGTACATCGGTACATGGGTTCGGTGATTGTTAAAAACAAAAGTCGAAGTTTTGCAATCGTTCCATTGCAACACACAATAATAAAGTGAGACACTCTACCCAAATGAATAAGATACATTAGCCTTCAAGATTCCAAACGCTCGTAAATTTTTGTATTCATTTTCACAATTTCGATTACCTAATCTTTATTATGTACATACGTAGATAAAATCATGTAAGTGAGAAACCTACTTTCCCGTTTTATGTTTGTGCATGTTCAACGGCCGATGCATAAAGGTAAGTGCACACATCTCCGGAGACAGAATTTCTTTCGATTATAAAAAGCATTATAACTTAAATTGGTACGAACTGTCTTCGGTTTCGTTAGAAAAAAACCAAAGGCGTTTTATATTTTTATCTTATCTTTTACGTAATATAACTTGTAAGGTATTTTACTGTATCGCCGTAACGTAGAAAAGAAAAAAAGAAATACATGTCTCGATACCTTCGTTCAATGTACAATACGCAATAAAATGACATTACAATAAATCCCCTTTTCTTAATTGCTGATACAAATTGTTATACCCAATATTTCGACACAATAGAAACTAGAAACTACGCAAAACTATAAGAAATTTAGATTTGGTGAAATGTAAATCATAATCATCTATCTCTCGGTAAATATACACTTTGTCCATAATCTTTGAAAAATAAAATAATACATAGATAAAGCATGTTTATACATTTTTCATCCAGACTTATCAGAGTAAATAAGTGCTGCTATTTTATCTTCTTTAAAGGAATATAATAATATATTTAAGTGGCTAAATTATAGTCTGACACCACCGCAATTAATCAACACGATTCTCTTGATTTCCTTTCCTATAACAACTGATCATGCTAACGATTCACTGGTTAAAAGTAATTCGAAAATAAGCTATAATGAAACATCATATTTTCTTTTTATTTTAGCCATAAGATTTTTCATTTCTTGAATCCAAAGATTCAATAGACAAGGATTTACAGTTGAGGGCACTTTTTTTCTCTGCCTGTCTTTAATAATAGGCGCTGGACCATTCTGTATGCTATTTTTTAAACAGCAAGGATTCAGCGTAATGTACAGATATTGTACTTCTCTAAATCTACCGATCCATAACTTGGAGATCGATAATTCACGGATTGTTCTTACTCTCTGGTACTCTAGCCACTTTTCTGTTTTAATCTTTTCATAGAGTACGCGCAAGCCCCAGACATATATATTTGTACATAGCTATCATATCCAATGGAAAGTGTACATTTAAACTCAACTGAATCACGTACAGTTCATTCACAACATCAAAAATAGACTATTGCAAGAGTGCATTAGCATGTGACACCCTGTAGATAGTTATTACTCAACCAAGGTACCGTTCTCATCATACATTCCGTGACTTTCTTCTCCTGTAAGGGAATCTGAAACGTAGACGATATGTACAAATTTTGTATGATATCACAATATCACTCTTATAAGTCTCTGAGTCTTATTCTTTTTTCTTCTTTCTTCAATTAAATGCGATTTGCCGCACAGTTATATAAATTGTTGATCCCACATTGTTGGACTATAATATAATGCAGCACCTGATAGATATAAGAATCTTGAGATCATTATATATTACATTACAAATTGATCGCAATTTTTAAAGAGTGTACTACGTGTACATATTGCCTACGGTACAGACTCTGTTCTACGTGTAACACAGGAAAAACGTGTGAATTACGTTAATCTTATGTTCGACCACGTGGCTTTTTTCGAGAAGCTGTCTCTTCGCTTGAAGGAATACCTGTGGTAGCAGCCGTGCGTTTCGGACGTCCTGCCGCTTTATTACTCTGTTGTGTGTTTTGTGCAGTCGCTGAAAATCAAATAACGATACACAATTAAATTATACAATCAGCTATAATCACATTAAATTAAATTAAATAAACATGATTATTACCACGTTGTTTTGTCCTGGACATCGCACTCGTATTGTTGTTACTTGGTTGTTTTGTGATCTTCTTGTTTTCACTCTTCTTCACATCAGCATTGTTTTTGGCTCCGTCCGCAGACGGGACTGCGTTAGCAGTACTTGTGGTTACACTAGTATTAGCGGGAGTAGCAGCAGTAGAAGTGGCAGCAGCCTCATTTTCAGACTTTGTGTTTCTGTTTAGTGCCCTTTCTGCTCTACTCGAACCCTTCGCTACGGACTTAGCAATAGCCAACGCTTTGTTAACAGTCCGCTTCTTGGAACGACTTGGTTTTGGAGATTTTTTCCCTGATTCGTCTTCAGGTGCTTCGTTCTCAGAAGAGCTTTCACTTCGTTTCGATTTTTTACGCAAGCTTTGCTTCTGTTTATGTAAGTTGTGACTTTTTCTTCTCTTCAATTGTGACTCATCCTTGTAGAGTGAAAGGTCAACTGCGGATAAGATATTAGAATTTCAATTTCGCGATAAACAACAATTGAGTTACTACTACTTTATTTCACGTTCGCAATAATAAAGTACATCAACACATTGTTGACCGGCAATTTTACAATGTCTGGGCATAAGAACACGAGTTAACTTCTAATTGGTCATCAATGTGTTAAGAACCGATAGCAGCTTTTTTCCTCGTAAGAAAAAATATATACTAACGTCCATCCGGATGTTCTTCTGTTACCCGTGGTTTTTCGGATACACCAGCCTCGACGTCGATTGCTCTTTTCAAAATATTCTCTGTACGCAATAATTCTATCTTGGTTAGTTGATATTTATTCTTATCAACTTTGTTCAAGTTTAAATTTGTTAATATACAATCAAAGTCTGAAATAAAAAGAAGGCTCAATACATATATACATGTTATGTTGTCTAGTAAAAAATAAGAATTAATAGTATAATAACAATGAAATAAGATATACGTTCTGTACAAAATTACCTATAAAATCATAAAAGTCAGGTGAATATATTTCTCCATTATTTTTGTCTTGAGAAAGCCAACGTATACGAATTCGCCTGCTTGACTTATATATATTTTGCATTGCTTGACATACATAAAAGCTCCCTTCCGCATTTCTCACAGCCAAAAATTCATTTCTAATAACACATATTAGTAAAAATTAATAAATATAGAATGCTTAAAAAAAACATTAATAATTCTTTTATATTCAGATGAATAATTAATAGAATTCACAATTTTATAAACATTTTTCATTACACTGTATTTTACATACACTTATACAAAAGGATTAATTATACATTTTTTTCAAGTACAGAAATTTCACTCACTTGTAGAATACTATAAGTTTATCATCAGGAGCCTTTGATGGTGGTGGCTTATTCAAATTCTTGACAATTAATGCAATTTCTGGTAACGGACTCTGATAAGGCTGTGTTTGGATTCGATTTCGTTTTGGCTTACTTGCTCCATCTGAAGTTGCCTGTAATCCTTTCAAATCTTTCAATTCTCTAGATTTTCTTTTATTGGCTTTTGGTGAACCAGTAACTTTTGTCTCAACCTTTGATGGATTACTTGATTGCATTGTTGCAGAATTATCTGCTGTGACTTTCAGATTTTGAGCTGTGACTTTTGTCTTCTGATTATCAGGTTTGGCTGGTGCATCATCTGGTTTATGCACAGATATATCCTTTTTCAAAGGTGCACTGACCGGCATTGCATCAGATTCTTTTGAACCATTATTTACGGGAGCTTTCTTTTCTTCAACTTTGTTTTGTAGTGGCGGACATAATGCTAAAGCAACATATACACAATATATATATATATATATATCTGATATATTAAATCATTAAAATATTGCAATATTCTTTAATCATAACTACTGTTTCATGTTTGCTTATAAGATTGATAAATGCAAATTGTTGAACACAAATAACAAATATGTACCAATTATCTAAATACAAAATTAATAAAACATATAAACTAATTGCCAAGTTTTACTAACCAGGAAACTCTAGACTCATAGAGGTCATCTCCTGCTCTGTTTGAATCTCTCTCTGTGAGTCTTGTGTAGGATTGTCTGGACTTAGATTATTATTCCTGTTAGACTCGCTTTGCTTGATAGCAGCAGATATGGTCTGCTCGGTATCAGTTTTAATAATTTCTACTCCATTCGGAATCAATTTGTCCAAGTCCGATTCTTTTTCAGAATTACCGCTTACATATGGCGGTGTCTGGTACACTGAGGGTCTGTGATCTTGCACTAGACTCAAAGGTTGACTGGGTGGTTGCAACGTGACATAGCTCAACCCAGTTCCTGGTAAAGGCTTCATGGCTCCTGGCTCTGAGCCTGGTACAACCTTTTGTGCCATCGCATTCATTGGAAGAATGGAGTGAGTGGTAGAAGCTGGTGAGGTACCTACTCCTGGTATCGTTGATTTTAAGGCCGATGCACTCATTTTGTTCTGACTAAATACGTCTCTCTAAATGCTTATAAAAAATCATTAACCATTAAACGGAACTCTATTACACACAAATACAATGTATAAGAAACCGATGTAAATACATGCGAACAGCTCTTGTGTAACAGTTAAAACAAATATTAGGTTATATCTATAGAGTGTTGCACTACCAACATTCGTTAATATACACAACATATTAAAAGAAATTAATAAATTATTGAAGCTATCTTGGTGATCGGAGAAATACATCTTAAAGTTTGGTCATTCAAATCTATGAGACAACAAACAACTAAAGTCAAATAAATTAACGAAAGAGCTTGAAGGAGACGTGGGAAACTAAAATGTGGGAAGAAAACATTGCATTAGTACGAAAAAACGAGGGAGAATCCAAGGAAAAGTTGGGGCACAGAGGGTGGCTGCGGAGGGAGGGGGTAATTAGAGGAGTAAACATAAACACGAAGGAAACTCTCAATGATTTTAAATTTTGGGAATATGCAGAGAATTCGTAGAATACATTCAACGATAAACAGCTATGTATAATTACCTCGACGTTATCAGGTCCTGAATATGGATATATATTCCCTTACTAAACCTCCACGGATTGTTGACCACTGCGCGTTAACACACGGTTAACTCATTTTCCCACACACTTCCTTGACGCGTGAACGCTTTTTCTCAGCTAACATTTCATTCGGCGTACACTCAGCATAGTCAGCTTACCAAAGATACTCACTTAACTTACCGAATTCTACAAAACAAAACGATAAAGGCTTGCGCGCTATAGAAAGCCGTGATTTTACCCGCACGAAAAAAACAGGAATGCCAGACGTTAGATGGCGTCGGTTCTTGGACGCCATGTGTGGCGCAAACTTGATTTTATATGCATTCTGATTGGTTCCAAAGCAATCGCTCGAATTCTCTTTTGTGATAAATTTTATTAAAATATAAAAATCACATGAGAATATTTGTATATTCGGTCGTTTTCCTTTTCTCAGGTTAATATTTATTTGCTGTTTTTTTTCTTTCATAAAAATTATGTTAGCTTATCGAAATTCTTCGTCAGAGATATTGAAAGTTACAAAATACACATTGTCTTTTTATATTCAGTCATTATAATGCGAACAAAATTTATTTCAAATGTAATCTTGTGTTAATGAATATTTTAATATATATAGATAAGTAATTATGATTTAAACAAGTGACGTCATTATTATAATTTTTTCTACTAATTTTATATTATCTATAATTATTTTGCATTATTTTTCATTTATTTCTAATTCAGTAAGAAGTAGGTTAAATGTTTCTGTGCTCTTAATAAATGCTAATACAGTTCACTTTCATATTTGTGCTTAATATTCGTTATTCTATTTTTTACAGTAGTTTTATGGAAGCATATCTATGACAAATGATTTATTAAAATCATGTGCGTCCTAACAGTTACTGATGGATAGTATTCACTGGCTAATTCGTAATTGTAATTTTAAATGTCATGTGTATTAAAAAAATTTATACTAAATTGACTTGTTTATTTTATTCATGTAAAAAAAGATCATTAATACCAGTAAATTGTATGATTCGTTTCCTTATTCTTTTCTTCGGTGCATGTTTATCGCTTACGCGCCATTTTATGTTATAAAATTGGAAATGGCCTTAAGACATGTTTGCTGAGGTAAACAGACGCGATAAAAAATATCATTGTAAATTCCTCTTAAACATCATCGTATGTAATTATATAAGACGTGTTTACTCTTATGTATAGGTGTATGTTTACGTGATTATAATTGCAATTTTTATCTCGTACAAATAGATCAGATCCATGGAAGGAGTTATCGCATATAAGCAATATTCTTACTGCCATGTCATAGCCATATTTATATAAATAGATAAGCCAATCAGATGTAATTCAAGTTTGACGTCATCTTGATCCAAAAATTTAAAACACTATGTTTACTGTACCGTTTTCGTAGTTAAATACTTAATTATTTAATTTTTCTGGATTTCTGTACTGTAGCTTACAACCCGAAACAGCCATGTTGTGGTGTTTACTTACAACAGCGCGCACTAGATGAAAATATGTCCACGAAACGAACATACTTGTTTCATATCACAAGAGAAATTGAACTTTAGACTATTGTCGTCGAATTAGTCCCGCCACGTATAAGTGAGGTTCAGTAATTGATACTTTAGGATAAATGTTTCAAAAAAGAATTCATTCTAATTCATAATTTTGAACGATATATCGATCTGTTTATTAGTTAATAATGGCGCGTGTACTTGTAGGAGTGAAGAGAGTTATCGATTATGCAGTTAAGGTACATTTTAATAATATATTTATAGTTGTATAAAGGTATATGTGAATACTGTTGACATGTACCAATTGTTTAATTTTATCATGAAGATTGACATGTATTTTAACATAGGATGTCATAATAAATGTCATGAATTGTTAAGACAGTTGTACATTTTTTATAAAATTCAATGTAGAAGATAATTGTATTTTTTTGCAGTATTTTTAAATTTATTTTTCATTTTATTTTAGATACGCGTAAAAACAGATAAGACAGGTGTTGTAACAGATGGAGTGAAACATTCAATGAACCCTTTCGATGAAATTGCAATTGAAGAAGCTGTACGAATGAAAGAGAAGAAATTAGTTCAAGAAATAATTGCAGTTTCATGTGGACCATCGCAGTCTCAAGATACGATAAGAACTGCCCTTGCAATGGGTGCTGATAGAGGAATTCATGTTGAAATATCTGGACCAGAGTATGAAACTCTGCAGCCTTTTCATGTTTCTAAAATTTTAGCAAAATTAGCTCAAGATGAGAAAGCAGACTTAGTTATTGTTGGTAAACAAGCTATAGATGATGATTGCAATCAAACTGCACAAATGATTGGAGGAATTTTAGATTGGCCAACTGGGACATTCTGTTGTAAAGTATGTTGGTAACATTAAAATTTTAAATAAGTAAAATAATTTTTTAATCATAGTTGTAATCATTTTTTAATCATCTTTTTTGCATTAGGTAGAGAACAATAATGGTGAGCTAACAGTTACACGTGAAATTGATGGGGGTTTGGAGACCATTAAATTAAAAACACCAGCAGTTTTGAGTGCTGACCTCCGTCTTAATGAACCACGCTATGCTACATTGCCAAATATTATGAAAGCTAAGAAGAAGCCAGTGAAAAAGATGACACCAAAAGACCTAGGTGTTGATACTTCCGCCAAAATTGATATATTATCAGTTGAAGAACCACCAGTTAGACAAGCTGGTACCATTTTACCAGATGTTGATAGTTTAGTTGCAAAACTGAAGGAAAGTGGACATATCTAATAATATGCTGTTGTTAAATGTAAAGATAGATTTATCTCATTGTCTTTGTACTCATTATATATTTATTAAATGTTACTGTATTTAGAACAGTTTTTTTATACAGCATGAGATGTTGTATCTTATATCTGAATAAATTTTTATCGCATAAAGTAAAGCAGTAGGTCCCCTTATGATATAACTATATTCATAATAAAATATTGTAACATTTTATATATTTATATGTTTCTTTGGTAAATAACAACACTGTGTTTTCTACATTGTTTTTGTACTTCTATATTTTCA